TTTTTATAATTTTCATTTACGAAGATATGTATAGTCAATTTTAAAATAGAGATTACAAATTAAAATACAAAGAGTTATTGAGAAACAAAGGGGGAGATGAAGAGAATTTCTTTGAAAACATAAGAAAAGGGGTTAAGGAAAGAGAATGATTATTAAGACAGGTTAAAGAGAACGAGGACATGTGGCAACTTTGGTTTGTGTTTTTAAATACTACGTATAGATAGATGCCTTTGCAGTAAATATCATATGAGAAGCAATTGTCATCACTGTCATTGCACACAAGAAAGATGGACAATAATGCGTTTACTTATAAACAGATGTTCCCTAAATTATAAGCAGGGGCGAAGCCAGGAAATTAAATTTATAGGGGCCAAGACTTATATTAACTAAGATAAAATTATATATGTTTTTAGTTGCCAACTTTTTTCTTTTTCATTATTATAAATTAGGTTCGACTATAATTTTTTTTTTTACTAATATATAACAAAACAAATGTTATTAGCTAATAGGTTTTACGTACTATGATTAGTGTAGGGAATTTTTCAAATTGAATTTTTCAAATTCAACTTTGAGCCCCACTGTGATCATATTTTTAAGCATGGTGGCGTCCAAAGGGAAGGAAGCTAGAGATAAAAGAGTTGCCAACAGGTTTTAGGAACTTGTAAACCGTTCACGGGTGTGAAAGTTACACCCCATTCACGATCACAGTGATCGCTAACTCCATAGTGGTCCGGAACCATGACTGGATATTCGGGGATGATGGTACGAATCCAACCTAAAAGAGATTGAACCCGCCCTAAATCGGCCTCTACTTAATTCTTATGATATTCATGTGCGCTTTTCGATCAACATACATACATCAACTTAATCCTAAGCATATTTAATCTACGTTGGTTGATTATTAATGCACAATCAAATCTATTATTATTGGTGATCACTTGAATTAAATCATATTTGCCTAAATCAAATTATTAATTATCTCATTAGGCGTGATTTCAAGTACAAATTCCCTTTAATCCTACAAGAAGGGGCGTTATCAAGCAATAACAATCAATCATGAATAATCAAGCAATGTAATAGTTGACACAACAATCATCATCATAATCAAAAGGTTATTAAAACATGATTAATAGCAAGATCCTAGGCATGATACTAAACGGATTAATAACAAACCCTAGCATGTCACTAAAAATAAAGATCAAAGAATTAGCCCAAACATGATACTAGGAATCAACATGATATTAGAAATATTAGTTAACACCCTAACATGATACTAGGAATCAAAATCAACATCCTAATTAACATGATACTAGGAATTAATATAAACATCCTAACATAATTTGTATCAAAAGAACAATTAAGTAATCGAATTACTTACTTTGATGCCTCGTATCTCTTTCTATTAAGACAATACACACATTAGTAGACTTCAAGAAAGATTAAACCAAATAAATCAAATAAGAATTGAAATATAGATTTGGGACCAAACCCTCACAACTATCAACCTTTCACGCCGAGGTCAAAGGCAACTTCGAGATTGGCTAGGAGTATCCGAAGCTCCTGAGGGAGGTATGATGTTTGCTTAGGGAAAAGTATCAAGGATGTGTATTAGAACGTATTAGGCTAAGGCTAAGAAAAGATTCAAGAGAGAGAGAGAGAAAGTATTAGAGAGAGAATTAGATGATGATTGTTGGTGATTGAAAATGGGGTGAAACGACCTCTATTTATAATGACAAAAGAGGGTCGAAGGATTAGAAAAGAGTCAGAAATCAAATCAAAGTAAAACGCTCCCATCGCGGCACGACAGACTTGTCGCGGTGCGATGATGCTGTCGCTCAACGATAGTTTTGGAAAGATAGAATTCGTACGGAATTCGATTTCCAATCGGATTGGGTTAACCAAATTTCCGTACATATTCTACTTTGACCGGGATTAGGATCATTGAAAAACAAATGTTTTATCCGATGTAAAATTCTTAAATCTTTATCTTTTCGAAAACAGGATAAATGAGAACCTTCTAGAGGATTCTAGAAGCTCACAATAAATCCTAATGGATTTAGGATTGAAAACAAACTTCTAAAAGATTCTAGAAGCTTTTAATAAATCCTAATTGGTTTAGGAATGGGATTAAGGTAAATGGACCCTCCACGTGATCATTGGGTCGCAGGTAAGGCTTTGTTCGGGCTCGGTTTAGTATTTTGGCCATAACTTCTTCGTTATAAGTCGGATTTGGGCTTATAATATATCATTTAAAAGCTCTTTTCAAACCCCATCCAACTAAATAATAATTGGAACGAGATCATGGACCAAAGTAGATTAATTTGGACGTTTTTATAAAAAGGACACGAAATGAATGATTTTCAAAGACACGAAATGAATGATTTTGGTTTAAAACATTTAACAAAAGGTTATAAATCGTCAAGGCTAAAGGGAATTCACAAGACACTACAAGAAAACTGCCTATTTTCGACGGGCTGGTTCCGATGGACATGTAAATTTCGTTGGAAAAATCGAAATTTCTGACGGATTTAAATTTCTGACGGAATTTCCGTCAGAATATAATAATAAAAAATTAGAAACCCTAAATCCCCTTCTCTTATCCGCCTCTCTTCTCCTTCTCTCTCATCTTTCCTCTTCTCAGCTTCTCTGATTCGCTCTCTCCTCTTCTTCTTCTCTTTCTCTATTCTCTTTCTCGCCTCTTTCTTCTCTCCTCTTCTTTCTCCGCTTTCCTCTTCTCTTCTATTCTCTTATCTTTCTCGACGGTTTGTGGGGTGGTGTAGATACGAAATAGTAGCCGAAAATTTCGGTTGGTGGTTGATTTGGCTTTAGGGATGGTGCAAATTAAGTGTTTTTTAAGGTCAAATTCGACCATGAAAACACTAGATCTAGTGTTTTCATGGTCGTATTTGGCCTTATTAAACCAAATTCAAGGTTAAATTCGAAGTCAATTTAAGTTTTAAGGTATGTATTTGTGTTTTTAATTTTAATTTTTGGGTTTCACGATGGTAATACGTTTTGTGTTATGTGTTTTGTTTTTTGTTTTTTTTTTAAAAAAAAATTTGGGTTTGCCGCCGAAAAGGAGGAAGCCGTGGTGGGTGGTGGTGGTGGGTACGTTTTCTTTTTTTTTTGGGTTGTGTGGTGTCGTGTGCGGTTAGGGTTAGGGCCGGGATGGGTGGGGATCTGGTGGTCGGTTAGGGTTTGTGGTGGGTGGGGATCTGGTAGTGGGAATCTGGTAGTGGGATCTAAAAGTGGGTAAGAGGGTTTTTCAAGGCAGGTGGTTGGTGGTGGGGCTACTAAGTATTGCAGTTTGGTGGGAAAAAGGTGGAAATGCTTGCGGGGTTTGGGCAGTGGCGGTTGAACGTGGTGGTGTGGGTGGTTTTTTTTTTGTATTTTTTTTGGTAGACGTTTCCGACGAAAATTCTGTCGGAATATTTCAACGGATTTATATTCCGTCGTAACTTTCCGACGGACTTTTCCGGGCTGGAAAATCTCTTCCGACGCATGAATTCCGTCGGAAAAGGTTATTTTTCCTACAAATGCTTTTACGACGACAGTTTCCGACGGAATTCCGTCGGAATCACGTTTTTCGGAAAACGCTTATTTTCTAGTAGTGAGACTCTTCAACTCTTCACCTAACTCGATGATCAAAGACGTGAAAGGTACTCATCACTGGGTTTGGTTTTTGGGGAGACATAATCAGGTGTCTACAATTAGACTCGATGTATTGTTTCAAATAAACCAGGCCATGCATTTTGATTATCAAAGATATGGTTAAATCTATACAATATGTTAATAAATGCAATGTGCAAAAACTCAAAACATTGTGTTCAATTATAATTAAATTAAAAAAGGAAAAAAAATTCCTCGTAGTTGATTTTCAACAAAATATCTTTAACCCATAGTTTTGCTATTCATTAAAATAATCAAGATTACATAGAATAATACAAACCAACGAGATTTTGGCTATTGCTTAAGATTGAGAACTTGTGTACAATGTTAGAAGTTTGATTTTTTCTTTCCCCATTTGTATTATATAATGCCATTGTAGCTCATTTGCACTAAAGATTAAAGATAAATATAAAATAATACAAGAATTATATTTACGCTATACAATTAAGTCAATTAAGAATATTGGGAAAATTATTATAAGAAAGATTGGAATAAAAAAATAAACAAAAGAATAAATAAAAACATTGTAGAGATAAGAGGAATATTGGAAAAATTAATAAAAGAAAGATTAGAATGTGTAAAATTAACAATAAAGAAAGGTTAAATGGAAGTTTCAATCTTGGGACCTCTTAGTCAATGGGCCGTGTTATAAGGCTAGCATGCAACTTTATTATTTATACCAATAATTTATGGGGGTCAGCTTTTTCTTTTTCTTTTTTTTTTTTTGAAATAAGGGGGTCAACTTTTTACAATAAAGAAACTTGCAGTTGGGCCACGGGGGCCGGGCCTCCACTAGGCCCCCCAGCTCCGCCCTTGATTATAAGATAATACTCTACACTCCGTAGTATAATTGTACTTCGTATGTACTTAGTCAAATAACAACAACGCAACTCATTGTAAGAAAAAAGCTACAATACCAAGTTAAGCTTGGTCTAGTGTAAAAGATTGTACCTTCCAATCTTGAGATTGGGTCCCACTAGAGGAATTTTGAGGGTGGGGATCCCTTACCCTTTCCCCCTTACTTTCAAAGTGTCTGACTCGCAAATAACGGATAAAAAAAAACCGTGAGGATTAAGGTTCGGTAAGGGTCCTTCTTCTAACCATAAAAAAAACCTAATCATTTAAGCGTGGAGGATTTAGTTTAATATGTATTCACACTTATATAAGTAAGTATTCATGGGATATTAAGTTTTGATTTAAATCATACACGGAGTAATATCGAATATAGAATTATAGATGTGACGTGTTTAGACTGGACACTTTAAACTCTATAATCGATACAGTAACAATACAGATTTGTTTTATCATGTCTATCAACTACCTGAATGAAATTTGCTACTCAAGTCTTAAGGTTCCAGTAGTGTACCATGTTGTCCATGTATAGAAATATTCCATTGTTACGGCTCTTTGTTGCTTCAATGTCCCGTGATTTTGGCATAATTTCAAAATCAATATCATTTTAAAATGTACAGTAGATTGATATCTAATGTCTGGGGTAAAATTCTTGATCGTATATATTTAAAAAATTCATATTTCATTAGTCATCAATTATAATTTTACTAGGTTTTTGTAAGTGTTGCGATTTTTATGAAACGGATAGAGTATTACATCGATGACCATTTACCAAAAAGTCGAAATCGTAACTTACCTCTTTCTCTCCGGGTTTCCCATTGAAGCGCACTGAACGTTCTCCATTAGAGCAACTTGTGATCTTTGGATCTTGCATTGAAGCAGCTTCTGAGGTAAGATGTTGGTTTCTTTTTGTATATCAATTTCACAATCTAGGGTTTTTCGTAACTTAAATTCTCAGTATACTCAATTCTGTGTTATTCGCTTAATTTGATATATGAATTTAATTTGCCTTTGATATTAGGATGTAACTATGAAATTGGACCACAAATTTTGATAATTGAATCAAATTCGATTGCTAATGTGTTGCAGAACCTTTTATGAAAAACATTTGTTCACATAATGGTGATTGATAAGTAAACTTTTTGGAGTGGTAATTGAATTTAGAATGATCACATTGGAAACTTTTTGATTTTAGGTAACTTATCAAGAGAATGGTTTTTAAGTCTGTAATTTTGGCTTAATATGAATGGAGTATGTAAATTACTTTATCATTCTTAGATGCTTGATACTTTCAATTTCGCACTCTACTTTGTTTAATTTTCTTAACTAATTGCCTGCTCCGATTCTAGAAGATAATTCGAATGATAGTTCGTGTTAGCCAACCCTAAATCCTTTTGGAAATATCGAATATGGCGTTGCTGTTGTTATTGTTGCTGTTATTGTGTTACTCAACAGCTTTCCTATATTGATTTCAATAATCACATACATACATTGATGAGATTCTCCTGGAAATGCTCCCTGGTTTAAGATTCTTTCAGCAGTCAGCACATTGATTGCTAATATTACCACAGTATATTATGTATTGTTGTTCTGCGTATTGATATAACATATCTTGTTGGACAACGGATACAGGCATTGCACAAACATAATGGTTGTTGCTTTGATTTTTCGAATAGAATGAAGGCGAAAAGAGTGAGGTTCAAGGACTCTGAAATTGAACCAGTTGATTATGCAAGCAGTAGATTTGATGCTTGTTCTACACCATGTGAACTGAGAGAAGACCTGACAATGTATGTATGATCTCCAAAAAACCAGTTGCTTAGCATTGCTTTCACTTTCAGTTTTCTGGTTTTGTGGGTGTGGTGAGGTATTTGTGTTGCACCTGTAACATATTCTTTATCTGATACATCAGGCCACCTGCAGCTTCAAATGAACCAAAAACCTCCGAGTTTGCCTTTTTTAAGAGATTAAAGCAAACTGTCGGCCACTCTTCCTGTCAAAATACACTGAACAGACACAAGATGCCCGTGAGGAATAGTGGACCGACCAACCACGCTAGAGGTAGCTACCTCACTTATGCCTTCTTAAAAATTGTTAAGAAGTTCAAAAGAATGAGCTTGCAGTAGGATCTTAATAGGCTTTTCTGGTTAGATGGTACCGAATTTTTTATATTTGATATGCTCTGCAGAGTTGGATAAATCAAAACGTAAGGATGTCAAATCTTCACAACACATTAAGAAGTCTACGAGTGGTGAAATTAATTCCTTCCTCTCTCATAGAGATGCTTCTGTGGAAAGTTCAGGTGTGGGGCGTTGAACTGATTTGCTTTTAATACCACATTGTGTGATCTAAGCTACTCAGTGGTATGTTTTGACAGCTATGCCCAGGAAGGATCATGATAATGAGGGATTCAAGTGTTCATCTCTTATCAATACACCCACTAATATCAATTTAGATTCCTTCCTTTCCACAACTGCAAATGCCTCTGTGAACCCAGGTAACTCTTTCGAACTGAAAGGAAAGATTTGTTCAGAGAGGCTGTTCAGTGGCTATTATGCTGCACTAAAATATTTGGGCGTTGATGATTCACACATGAAATGAATATTGACGTAGAATAAATGGGTTTTATTCATATATTGGTCACAACTTTTTTATGATCCAGAAAACCAGCAGCAAGATGGAGATATATTTTCGTCCAAGAGGCTGAAGTTACGGCAACAGATTGCCAAGACCTTATTTCCTGAAACATATGAAGTCCCAAAGGAGTTAAGTGCCTGATACAATTTTATTTTATGTTTTTCTTCTTTTCTATTTCTTTTACAAAAATTCATAGATACTTTGTCAGGTCTCAGTTGTGATATGGTTTATCTGCTCCTGAGCCGATTGCTCCCTGAGAATTCGCAAGATATTGTACTGTCCTTGACCAACCATTGCTTTTACTCCTCTATCCATAAACCTCATCTGGTTTGTTTGTGCTAAGGCTAAATTTTGTCTAACAGCTGTCACAAGATCCACAACAAAGGCTACAAGAAACTAATGAGATAAGTCTGTTGGATCTTGACTCAAATATTCTACTTGAGGGGGCTTCAGATACTTCAAGAAAGCTTGTGAAGGCCTCCGAGGATCGCTTCTTAGATAGCCGTGTCTCTGCTTCTCAGTCCCACAGAATCTGGGGATCAAATCCTGTTGATCAAATAGATGAATACCTTGATGCCTCTGCAGCTAGAAACTCTAATAGAATGCTTCTTGAGCACAAAGTAGAGAATGAGTGGCGAAGCTCTCTAAATGCTATTGCTTCTGGGTGTTTGTCGAACAGATTTGGAGATGGAAATCTTTTGATATGGGATGATGAACTTCATGATTATTCTACACCGAGAAGCACTATCCATAAAGAGAATGAAACATATAAGCATTTCTCATATGATGCGTATGACTGTAGTCAGTTATGCAGATTTAGAGACCAGAATCATTCATATGAGCTTCTCAATGGAAAGTATGACTCCATTGCAGCTCCTAAAAGCAGTGGTAGTCTAATGTATGAACATGAGATACATGACTTTAATTTGGATAGAGGAGCACATCCTACTTCAAATTGTCAATATGATTCTCATTCTCTTGGCTCTTTTAAAAGTTCCAGACCTTTTGTGCTGAGAAATTTCATGGATTGCACTGAACCTAATTATCTGAGTGACTTTGAGATTAGAAGAGAACCCCAGCCTCTTTTACTTGGTTGGGATACTAATGAATTGGGTATGCGTAACTCGACCCATAATAGTCATATGGAGCTTGAAATATACTATCCTCCGTTATCTACATACAGTGAAGATCGTCAGGATAGTCCAGAACATGAAATATGTTGCGATCCATCAACTACACGGAGTAAAGACCATTGTGATAGTCTGGAAAACAGTACTTTGTTGCATTGGTCTCCCCACACATGTCAAGAACATGATCTTCAGGGACATCATTTCCGGCAAAGAGATTTAATTCCAAGCTCACCATATGTCCCATTTAGACTATCATACGGTCCAGAACAATTGAATGCAGATGATTCTGGTCTCTTTAAGAGTCTCTCAAAAGATGGCAGTTTCTTTTTCATCCCTCAGAGGAGTAATTACTCAATGGAAAACATGATTTCTGAAAGGAATTATCCTGGTTTAGAAGCTTTTCCTATCTCTCAAGACTTTGAATCTGATGCGGAGTTAAAATGCAAGTCACTAACTGGTATTCTGAAGGAGCAATATGAGTATACTGATAATGCACTTGAGCATTTCGGACGGGGATATGTAAGCTCACCGTTACTCATTGCCAGTGAGAACAGCCTCGCTACTATACAGCCAGAAAGCCGGTCCTTGGCTCGTGTGCATGTGCCTATTGAATGTCAGGAAGATTCATTTCCTTTGCAGTTGCATACACTAGGATGGAAGTAACAGAAGTTGCTACTTACAGTGAGGACAGGGGAACTACTACTTGTAATAAACTCTTCTGGTGATTTCTTAACTCAACTAATATCTTTTTTGGTTTCACTGCTGTAATGTACATATCTTTTTCCTTTGTGATTACGCACGTTTTTGAAAGAAATACCAATGTGTTGTGGCTTAATTAGTTAAAAACTTCTGGCTCTGTATTTCTGCATTGCATTTGCATTTGCATCCGCATCTAACGAAAACATATGTCAATTACACTTTGCCAGTTGCCACTTTGGTCATCCTTTCTTCCATTTTCTACTAAATGCTGTGAGGTAATCAATGTGCATATGCCCAGATTTCGAAATATTCTAATGCATCAGGCATAGGGAAGGGGCGCCTCGTACCCTTGTTAATTGGCATTATGGTTCAGTTAGAGGTGGCTTTAGCAAGAAGGAAAATCAGTTAGTCCCTAGTGAAAAGAGAGGGAAATACATTTATAAACTTCGTATTTATTAATCTAGAATCGTAACGTAAATTTTATTTTACAATATTTTTCTGTATGATGAGCACTGTTTTTTCAACCTTGAATCCCTTAAGGATAGATTACTTGAATCTAGGCGAACTTCCTGCATATAAACTAGTATTTGACTTATGCAATGACACCCTTTACTGTCTCTTTGGGGCGGGGTGTGCTCGAGGTGGCAGATTGTGGTCGATAAATGCATTACAAATTAGATTAGATCTCGAGTACGACCTCCCTAGAGACTTAACTATCTACAGAAACTAATGGTCGAATTTTTCTTCTCAATTTCTTACTCGGGTTATTCCAATATTTTATCACATTTCAATGCTAAGGACAATGGTTTAATCTTTTACATATTCATCAGGGTTAGTCACGCTCTCGTCTTAATCTTGATCCTTTTTATAGACAGGTTATTTAACCTTAATCCTTAGACAAATACAACTTATATTTTGTCACTACATTTAACTCGCTTCTCATTGGACGCAAGGTTGGATTAATAATGTGATTACATAGGGTTCTAATAAACTCTCTTTTAAATTAAAGCAACCCTGCAACAACAAAAGCCATCTAAATTCTAAAATGCATTTTTGCACATAATTTGTATCAAAAGTTCATTGCTTTCTCATTAAATACTTGTTATCCTTCGTACATTTGATGGGCCAAGCTTTATTGCGCACTGTCTTCTTAAGATGCAAGAAAATTCCAGTACTACAGTACTACTTACTGCCTTACTGCAAGAGATTTTCACTTTTACAGATTTTCTGAGTCACAAAGTATAATTATTGTTGAATTATGGGCAACAAAAGAAGCTTTAATTTACCTTTCTTTTTCACTATAAAATGTCTCCTTAGTCCTTATTTCTTCACAGAGTGTTAAGTAGACTTCTCAAACAACACATGTAAGTGTTTTACATTGAAAAAAAATTTAAGAGCCTTAAATACTAAGGGGCTACTCTCTTTGTTGCCATATAATTTTGAGGCGGAACCTCCTTGAATTTATAAAATGGACACTCATGACGGGTATGACCCGAACCCGTTTAACATAGAGTGACGATGTATTAATGGTGGTCATGCTAAACAGTGGCAGAGAGTCGCACATAATAAATGCCTTAATGCTCAATCTACTTCTCCCTTATACTTCCTATTTTTGAAGTAAATGGTGAAGCATGTGGGGCAATGGAGTATAAATGTTGTGGCTTTTCTTTTTAGTTTTCTCTTCTTTAATTCGTAGTTGCTTCTAAGTAATACCAAATTCTTTACATGTAATTCACTAATGTATGATTAGTTATATATATGATGTAAGAATTAGGTTCCCCAAAAAGAAAAAAAAAAAAAAAAAAAGGAAAAGGTTATATTATGATTCCAATATAATTAGGAAAATGATAGATATAGCCCTAAAGACTACATATAAGAAGCTAAAAAAAGGAAATATGGAGGATAAATTAACATTTATTATACCGATTTGTGCGTGATTTTGTCATGAATTCCCAACTTAATTCCATTTTAAAAAGTATATTTAATGCTTATATATAGCCCTAAGAGCTACATATATCATTACTAGCAATGTCAAATTTCAAACTGAAACCGTTTAACTGCCCTAAACCAACCGACCCAAATGAGAACCGAACCGATTAAAAACCGATTTTTTGAAACCGAAAACCGACCCGAATCGTATTTTAGTAAACCTGAAACCGAACCGATCCGAATAATGTTAAACCATATTAGAACCAAACCCATTTATAAATCGAACTGAAATAAAACCGAACTGAAAAAGAACAAAACCGTTTCTAACCCGAAACCGTTACCAACCCGAAACCGTTTAAACCGGGTTTAAAACCGTTTACACCGAACCGTTAACAAACCGCAACCCGTTTACACCGAACCGTTTATAAACTAAACCACTTACAAACTGAACCGTTTATGAACCGAACCACTTATAAACCGGAACCGTTTACAAACCGCTTACTATAAAGGGAAGATTAAAATCACGTTAAAAGGAATTTTAAATGAAGTCTAATTATGCATACATGTTTACTACGAAGTACATTATTTTTCACTGACTTTTTTATGTAAGTATGGATTAAGCAAAAAAAAAATCTTCGTCTTCTCTTTAAAAGACATCATCAAAGTGCTTCATATTTTGTTCGGAATTATATTGTACCAAAGCTGGCCTAGTCAAATTCTTATAATGTACTTATATTATTAATGTAATTCTCCAAATTTTTAGAATGAGATTGCATCCTTTGATCTTTAAAAAAAAATTAAAGTCAATACTAAAATTATAATTGAGAATATAATTAATCAACTGAAAAAGAAACTCCAAAATCTAGCTTGAAAAAGATAATATTTGTGTACGTCTTTAACAAATTGGAACCGAACCGATTAAAAACTGATTTTTTGAAACCGAAAATCGACACGAATCGTATTTTAGTAAACGCGAAACCGAACCGATCCAAATAAATGTTAAATCGTATAAGAACCGAACCCGTTAACGAACCGAACCAGTTCTAAACCGAACCAAAAAAGAATCGAACCATTGATAACCTGACCCGTTTCTAACCCAAAACCCTTTCAACCCGGCTAAAAACCTTTACAAACCGCAACTCGTTTGCACCGAACCGTTCACTACCCGAACTGCTTACGAGCCGAACTGAATTAAAATCGATAAAAAAAATGAAACCGAATCGAACTGATAATAATTTTAACCGAACCGAAACCAATCCATCGACCAATTAAACCAATTTCAAACCGAACTGTCAAACCATTTTGACAATGCTTCATTACCCATACAATTTTATTCCTAGGATGTGTGCATAGAAATGTTATCTTATACAACTACCTATCGAGTTTGGAAAGTGTGTGGAAAGGTATTCAATAATAGTTTTAACTTTAAATTTAGGGGCTTGTTTAAAAACTCCCCAAAGTGAAAATAAGGTAAATAGAACAAATTATTAGACTATTGCATTATTCATGTACGTAATACTGTGTACTAATTAACTATAAGTCTACAACCATATTATTTGATAACATTTTAAAAGTAAAACACCTACGAAGTATAATTTTGTAATATGTTGAACTACTCGATGTACAATACTGCATTCCTTAAAACAGCTACGGAGTATAAGGAATTAATGGAGTATTGTACATCCATTCCTTTACATCTGGGCTATTTGTTTTTAATGATTTTTAATACACATATTTGACTAAAATATCTCTAATTATGTATAAAAATTAAGAAAGTACTAAGTACTCTCTCTATCTCATAATACAAAATCTATTTAGGTGTTTTCACAGGAATTAAGAAAGTTGTAGACTCGAATCGATCCCAAGATTACCTGAAATCGGGAGGAGAGCTCTAACCACTTGAGCTATCCCTCAATCTCAATAAACATTAGTAATTTAACTATACACATAACTGAGACGAATCTAACTAAACTTAATTTGTTTTGTCATTTTTATACAAGTATATGGCCTATATGCAGGTAAAATTAAATTATACAAATTAAAAAAGAAAGAAAAAATAATTAATTAAATATTGTGGGGCTTCGTGATTTGGGAACGTTAAAAGAAAGATCCGTTGGAAGTCCCATCAAAAGATATTCTAGTTGGAGGGCCTTTTGATACCTGACCAGCCATATTTCCTAATCCAGTCATTTGATCCAAGATCACACCCTTCCTATTCTACTGATTTCGTGTTTTGTTGCCCTTGATCCTTGATTAATGTAAGACCTTGTAACAAAATACAAGCTCATTAGTTCATTGTATAGGGTTGGGTGTGGTTTAAATATTCTTGGTCTTATCTCTTATGTATTTATGTGTAGGCATGTTTTGGAATTTTTCGGATAATTCAAGCAAGGTTAGTGTTTAATATTGATTTTTCAAGAATTATTTACATGCTTGTATCATCCCTAAATATTCTAGACAATACTTGAAATTGAAAGAAACTAGAAACAATGGCTCGTGGAATTTCTGGAACATTACAACTACAAGAATAATCAAGGTAATTCAGGAATTTTCTAGCCAAATTTACCTACCCATCTTCAACTATAAATATTGATGTTGGGCGTATTATTTGAGAGCAATCCACCGCAATCAACTATGTTCCTTTGAGGTTTTCTTACACACAATCTCTCTAACTATTTATTCCTATTTTGGGTGCTCGTTGCTTGTGGGTTATTTTTTTTTTTTTTCCTTCTAATTTTTCCCATGTATGTATAAGTGTGTATCTTTTATTTCATTCCTATTTAATAAATTCTTTTCAATCTTTACCTCTTGTCATATTTCATGAAAGATACTTAACAAGTAATCATTCTGGTCTAAGTGATATTCAAGTCATTGCATGTAGAATGATATTTGTATGTTAACGAATGATATTTCTTAATAAAACAAAAATGTTATATATAAGAATTAGATGATTGGTAACAATACAATGGCTAGTTAAAAAATTATTTTTGAAAAGGTGAAAAGTAAGTCAAAGTTCTAATTAATTATCTTGAAAGCTTATAAACGTCAAATTTTAATTACCTTGTTAAAAAAAATTGTACATTGTGGCTAAAGAGAATTAATGTCAAGCAATCATTTATTAATATACAAATAAGAAAATGGATGAAAAGTTTATATTTTTGTGGGTAAAGGTAATGGTGAAGAAAAATAAGTTAAAAAAGAGAGCACCACAAAGGAAGGTGAGGCCTGACAAATTGTACAGAAAGTGTAGAGAAATTACAAATTATAATGTAGGAAATTTATATTATCTTTGTGGGTAAAAGTAGTTCTGAAAAAAATAATGTATAAAAAGAGAGTATCACGGATCAGAGGAAGATGAGGCAAGACAAAGTGTAGTGAAATTATAAGGTAGATAAATTATAATGTAGAAAATTTATATCACTAACTTATTACAAAAAAATTATCATAAATAGGTTTCTAAATAGTTATTATTGTATTAATAAACTTGCTTAACTTGTATATAGGTGAAAAATTAAAAAAGTCCCTCGTCTAAGGTTTCGAGGTGCGACGAGTCCCTTGTCTAGGGTGTTGTCTAGGCTAGTTTTCGAGTGCTTTTTCAGTGCTATTCCATCCAATTCTTGTGCTTTTTTCATTTGAGCTTCCCTGTTTTGCTTGTGTTACCATAGCTGCTCTAAGATGGAAGAGAATTTGTTGAAAGATTGGGAGAAATTCCGTTTGACTGAGGATGAGGAGGCGATTGTATGTAAGGACTTTGAGGAGGCGACTGACGAAGGTTCAAAATCTCAAATTTGCGTTTCTCTTATTGGTAAAATGCTCACAGGTAGGCCTTTTAATTTTGAGGCAATGAAGAAGACTCTAACATCAATTTGGCGATTACATAATCATGTTGCTATTAGAATGATTGAGACGAACTTGTTTGTTTTCCAATTCTTTTCTATAGAAGATAAGGAAAGAATTCTTGAGGGGTGCCCTTGGTCTTTTGATAACCAAATTTTATGCTTGAAAGAGATTCACCCTGATGAACAACCTTCAGATATCCAGTTTACTCATACTCCGTTTTGGGTGAGGCTCCTGGACGTTCCTTTTGGCAAAAGAAACTCATCCTTCGCATATGATATTGGTGAGTGTCTTGGTGGCTATCTTGACTATGACAGTGTTGATTATTTGGGCTGGGATGAATTTATGAGGATAAAGGTTATGATTGATATTCGTAAACCTTTGAGGAGAGGAGTAAGACTAGCCACGGGGAAAGGTGAAGCAACGTGGCTTGATATTAAATACAAGCGTCTTGGAGATTTTTGTTATTATTGTGGCAGGCTGAGTCACACTGACCGTAACTGTCATTATCAAGAGGAAACAGTTGAGAAGGGTACGGTGGTTGTGTACCAATATGGAACCTGACTGACGGCCTCACCTCATAAGAGGCCAAGGCAAGGAGAAGGATAGGAAATGGTTTGAGAAATTATTTGCTAGGAAACATATTCGTTTCCCTAGCTATAATGATTCTAGTGGGCTGGAAGGAACTTGTGACGCCACGCCTCTGCCCATTATTGTTGTGCAAGACTAGGTTCAAGAGGTGACAGCTACAGAAAATCCTCAGCCCCATCATGATATAAACACTGGTATACCCATGGAGATTGATGGCTCGGTTATGGATGCAGTTCTGGACGGGTATGCTAAATCAAATGTGGTTCAGTCAGAGAAGAAAGGGGGTGTAAAAAGCAAAATCAAACTTTTGAAAAAACCTTCTCACAGTGGGAAAGCCGCTGATATTTGTATTTCTACCCACTTGAAGCGAAAACATGAGACAACGGACTCGGACTCTGACACTTCGGAAGGCTTTGTAAGGAAGCGCAACAAAACAGATCCTTTGGGGTCTTCTGATCAGATTGTTGAGGCAACCCCGCCGCCCGCAATGAGTTACTTATGTTGGAACTGCCGGGGACTTGGTAATCCCCGTGCAGTTAACGCACTCCGTAAATGGTGTGCTTCCCTTAAGCCTAATATTGTATTTCTTTATGAACTAAAATCAATAAAAATGTTGCTGAAAATTTGAAGTATAGACTTGGTTTTTCCTGTGCTTTTGGAGTAAGTAGTATATGCCTTGTTGGTGGTTTGTGTATTTTTTGGAAGGTGGAAAATTTGACTTTTAACCTTGTTTCTTATTCCCAAAATCATATATGTGGGGATGTGACTTTGTTATCAGGGCTTTTTTGGCGTTTTATTGGTATTTATGGCTGGCCGGAGTCTGGAAATAATCACAAAACTTGGGAGCTCATCGGAATTTGATTTCCTCGTACCATGGTCCGGTGTTGATAGGTGGCGATTTTAATGAAATTTTGAGCTTTGATGAGAAGGAAGGGGGAGCTGATTGTGACAGACCTGCCTGTATGATTTTCGAGATATGATTAACGACTGTGCTCTTCGTGATCTTGGCTTTGTCGGACAGTGGTATACTTGGGAAAAAGGTTAAACGGCTCAAACTATGGTTTGTGAATGCCTTGACAAATTTATTAGCAACTCTTCTTGGTGTGATCTTTTTCCATTAGCTTGTGTGTCTCATTTGGTGCGTTTCAAGTCTGACCGCACTCCAATATTGTTGACCCTCAAACAAGCAAAGAAGAAGAGAAAGAAGCGTTGGCGCAGGTCTTTTAAATTTGAATCTGCATGGTTACTGGACAATAATTGCGAGCAAGTTGTTCGTGACTCATGGGCTCGGTCTGAAGGTGGTGACATGAGAGCAAGGCTGCAAATTTTGGAGGTTCTTTGGAGTAAGGCAAATTTTGATGATCTAGAGAAGAAAATTGACGACTTGGAGAAATCTCTCAAAGAAAGCTCAAAATCTGCCCATTTCGGATGCCTCTATTCAAGAATGTGCCAGACTTGAGAAGGGCTTGGAGGACTTATATGAGAAGCAAGAAGCTTATTAGTACATGCGTTCGAGAGTTGCAGAAATAAGGGATGGCGACAAAAATACGAAGTATTACCACCATAAAGCCTCACAGAGAAAAAGCAAAAATAAGATTAGGGGTCTCTATGATGCAGGTGGTAAATGGATTTCGGATGAGGACGACTTTGAAGAAATAATTGAAAAATTTTATGCGGAGTTGTTCACTACTGCAAGCCCCTCCCCAGATTCTTGTTCGGAGGTCTTAGAGGCGATTGAGGCTACAATTTCGAGTGCTGGAAATGATTTTCTCCTTCGCCCTTATACAAAAGATGAGATATTTGTTGCCTTATCCTTGATGCACCCTTGCAAAGCGCTGGGGCCTGATGGAATGCACGCCATTTTCTACCAAAGATTTTGGCATATTGTTGGTGACGATGTGACAAATGTAATCTGTAAAATTCTTGATGGTACTTATTCCCCAGAGAGTATCAACAACACAAAATATAGCTTTGATTTCGAAGGTACAATCTCTGACTCAAGTTTCTGAATTTCGCCCTATTGCTCTCTGTAAAGTGCTTTATAAAATTGCTTCTAAGGCAATTGTGTTGAGATTGAAATCGATCTTGCGGAGAGTTATTTCTGAAAATCAGAGCGCATTTGTTTCGGGAAGGTTGATAACTGATAATGCTTTGGTTGCTCTTGAACTCTTCCATACTATGAAACATCGCAGTAAAGGGCGAAAGGTACTGTTGCAATAAAACTTGACATGAGTAAGGCCTACGACAGGGTGGAATGAAATTTTTTAGAGGGTGCTCTTGTGAGAATGGGTTTTGTGGATCAATGGGTTAGGATGGTGATGGAGTGTGTCTCTTCTGTTTCATATTCCTTCATTGTCAATGGGCAAGTTTGTGGAGCTGTTAAGCGTTCTAGGGGTCTCAGGCAAGGAGATCCCCTCTCTCCCTATTTATTCATTATTGTTGCAGACGTCTTCTCGGGAATGATGAATAAAGCTTCGAAGGACAAGTTGATTCATGGGGCTCGGGCTAGCTGCTCGGATCCGGAGATTACCCATCTCCTTTTAGCTGATGATAGTCTACTCTTTGCTAGAGCCAACCGACAGGAATGCTAAAAAATTGTTGATATTTTTAACAAATATGAAGCAGCTTCCGGACAAAAAATTAATTATGATAAATCGGAGGCCTCCTTTAGCAAGGTTGTTATTAAAGTGAAGCAAATTGAGTTGTTGGAGGTTCATCAGATAAAACGTGTGCAGGAGCATGTCAAGTACTTAGGCGTTCCTACGATCATCGGGAGGTCAAAAAAATTCATTTTTAGAGCTCTCAAGGATAGAATTTGGAAGAAGCTTCAAGGGTGTGGAAGGAAAAATTATTGTCTAGAGCCGGTAAGGAAATTCTAATAAAAGCAGTCATTCAAGCCATTCCGACGTATCTCATGGGTGTTTACAAGCTCCCGGTTTCATTTATCAAGGACGTTCACTCCATGACGGCTAGATTTTGGTGGGGCCATTCGGATTCACAAAGAAAGACTCATTGGGTAACCTGGGATTCTTTATTTTCTCCCAAGTGTTTGGGGGGCATGGGGTTTAGAGACATGGAAGTCTTCAATATTGCTCTATTGGGTAGACAAGCATGGCGACTCTTAACCGCTCCTTCGTCTTTGTTTGCACGTGTATTTAAAGCAAAGTACTACCCAAATTCTGATTTTTTGGGAGCTGCTTTGGGTCCATCTAGTAGCTTTTTGTGGCGAGGAATTTGGGCTGCGAAAGCTCTTCTGAAGGAGGGGCTGATTTGGAGAATTGACAATGAAAATAGTGTAAACATTTGGGATGACCCTTGGCTTGCTAATAAAAATGGAAGATTCATTTCCTCTTCGAAAGTTGATCACTTGAACAATGTGTGTGATCTAATTTCTGCAGACCACAGGGAATGGAACTATGAGCTTCTTGTTCAACATTTAAATGAGAGAGACGTCCGATGTATTATGTCGATCCCTTTGAATGAAAAACTTCCCAACGATGCTATTACTTAAGCTTTCTCTAAGGGTAGTGCCGACTCTGTAAAATCAGCTTATATGCTTGGGAAATCTTGCGATCTCGAGAGCTTTCACCATGCCTGGGTCGAAATCTGGAAGATGGAGGTCTCCCTGAAAGCTCGCCACTTTACCTGGAGGGTCTGTATGGGTACTTTACCAATACACGCTTTGCTAAAATATAGACACATGATGGAGAATGAGTGCTTCCCTTGGTGCCCTGGTGAGAAGGAGACCGTATGTCACGCCTTGTTTAATTGCAGAGCTGTTCGTGATTTGTGGACAGAGTGTGGTTGTGAAGAGATTCTCAAGAATTGTGATACTCTCTCTTTTGCTGATTTGATTGTGTCGTGGAAGAATGTGAATGCAAAAACGAGGCAGAGGGGAGTCTTCTTGATGTGGTGCGTATGGCATCGACGGAACGACAAAGTTTTTAATAATGAAGAAGCTCCCCATAAATTGATTATGGAAAGGGTTATTAGACTGGTGGAGGACTGTAGCAGCTACAGCTTAAAGATTTATGGGCCTCGTGTAGCTGGTGCAAACAGGAGCTCGAAGATCTAGCTGCCTCCTCCAATCCTCCAAACGTGGTGAAGATCAATTGTGATGCCTCGATTTCAGCAGAAGGTTGGGTGGTGGGGCTAAGTATGGTTGCCAGAGACGATGCAGGGGATGTGATATTTGTGGCAACTAGGAGATTCAGAGGTTGGCTTGAGCCTGAGAGTGCTAAAGGGAAGGCCTTAGTGATGGCTACATGTCTCATAAAAAAGTTCCAACTCAAAAAATGTTATCTTTGAATCTGATTGCAAATTTGTTGTCTCAAAGCTCTCGAAAGGGGTCTTCCTGACTAATTTAGATTCTATCTTGCAAGATGCTATATGTAATGTGTCGTATTTTAATTTTGCCTCTTGGTCTCATGTAAAGCGAGAGAGTAACTTTGTGGCTCATCATCTTGCTAAGCTAAATCCCATTTGGGATTGAGCAAATATGGGTAAATCATAGTCCTTGTGAGATTTCCCCGTATGTTTATATGGACAAAAGCTTGATTAATTAATGAATGAGACTTTGTGGTGTGTAAAAAAAAAAAAAAAAAAAATTGCTTAACTTGTTAATTACATTACTATCCAAAAAAAAGGCATCTTGTCAATTACTACCTAAAAAAAAATTATTGTTATTTACTATCAAGGCATCTTGTCAATTACTACCTAAAAAAAAAATTGTTGTTTTTTTACTCCCTCCGTCCCTTATCAATATGCCTATTTCCCATTTTTCATGGGAATCAAGGAACTTAAAGATTCTTTAAAACTCATGATTGGGAAATACAAATGTGCATGTGGGGTTATAGATAGAGAGAAAGAAAAGGTAGTTAGTAATTATTGAAGAGATAGAGAGATAAAATGTTGGAAAATGATGTCAAAAGTATAAAAAAAATAAAAGAAAATTGATGACAACTCATCAAAAA